TAAAGCTCTGAACAAGTTTTTGCGTGAAACAGAACTCGAAAAGAGACGAAATAATTTTGGAGCTTTGAAGGTTTCGATATATCACCGCCTTTCTCCTCCACATCATCAATACAATCTCTCTACTTTCCTTATCATGCCCTTCCCTTACCTAACGCTGAGTAGCAGGTCAGCAAATTCACTCAGGCTGATCTTACAGCTTTTCTTTCATACTAAGCCTCCCTCTTTCTCTTTCTCTCTGGAGGCGTCTACTACAATTACGGTTGCAAGTATGCTTACTACCGTATACATCATCATTTTACGAAGTAAGGAAATATCCACTACGTCCCATTTTTCTGAGAAGCGAGGGCTTCGTTACTGATATGTAAAGCATTATGCGCGCTTTGTACACGTATCATAGTTGTGCTAAGGTCTTTTATGAGCCCAATCGCACACGCTTCACCAGATTGACAACCTCATCAGCTCGAAGCGCACAAAAAGTTCTGGATACCTTGGAGACAGCCCTTGCAACCCATCTTTAACATTATGAATCACAGTATATTTCACTCGATTCGTACTCTGTCACAGTTCGCGAATTTAATACCTTCTGGCAGTCACAGCGGTAACGCGTTACGTTTTTCGCTAATTTAGTAACGTACTCGTAACAATTTTAGAACGGTAACGAGTAACGCTCTTAGGATACAATTTTTTGGTAACGTGTATTGTCACGTTACTCGTTACGTTTTCATCATGCAGGTGCCATTTCCCCAGAGCTCAAACCGATGAATTTTTTTGTCACTGCATCGGACAGCTGTCCACCTGCAGGTTTTAACAAAGAAAGCGAGGGTGCACGTAATTGCTTTTTTGTATAAATTGCGCATGGAAATAATATTCCCCAACTCCATGTGGGGAAATGTCGGGCCATCGCCACAAGAAGATCGAAGAAACAATACTGATTATTGGCCTAGTTGGCACTTGCTTACTGAGTGTTTCTGTACGTTGTGTGTGTGTGTGTGTGTTATTTGCGGCCAAAGCATGTCAGTAAGATTTAAGAAAGCTGTGAAATCCGCCATGACAAACTTTACAGGAATATGCTTTTCATGAAATCGGATTGTAGCAGGTGGACTGCTGGCCACTGCACCTTTCCATGACCCTAAGACAGGCTACCCGAAAGAAAAGCGCACGGACTGGTTTTATCCATACCACGTGCTGATAGCCACGCTATAGCCACGCTGCTACGTGGGGAAAGCGAATAACTTCTTCGAGAGCCTGCGGCAATTTAAAACCGACGTCGTCAAGTTAGAGTCACGAAGGAGTACACCCGCTAACTACATGGCGGTGAACTACCACCGCACTGAATTGACCGAGCTCGGCACCGTAGACTTAGAGCCAAATTTATAGATGGCTTTTTGTGGAATCCTGGCCCATCCAGCAGACTGCCGGTAACTTGACTGGTTTAAGTTGCGCTACTGGTGGAGCCTGTCTAAACGGCATTATGCACATAATGGACGACAGGCGTGACCCGATGAAAATGAAATGAGGAATAAAACCTCTAATACGAATGCTAGTTAGGCGCGAAACGTAGAACCGTTTTTTTTTGCGAAGAAAATTAAGTCTTTATTTTATACTCGATACCTTGGTTGGTTGTGTTTCTCGCTACGAACTAAAGCCTACCGATACTGCTGTCACACGAACACTACGGCTAACATTTACAGGTAGCTACATGGCACACATAACCACTGTTACTCTTCTCAGCGCTGTTATCGCCAAACAGGAGCTTAGGTCGAATGTTGTGGGGCCGAGCGGACAAGTTTGCCATGGAGAAAAAAAAATTCAGAAAGGTAGAGGTGGGGTCGGGTCACTCTCTGACCACACCAATGTTGCAAACGGGTAATTGCATAAGAGATCGGCACAAATCAGAAATATGATATTTCAAATTTGATTGAGTATTTCATACTTAATGCATACAGGACCCACTAGCACGAAACGACACTCAGTTTTCTTTCAACATGCATAATTTACGAGGCCGAAAATATCGAACATATGCAACACGGAGGGATTAATTTCATCACCAGTCGTTCCCAAAAGTCCATAATAATGTAACACTCAAATATTACTGTTACAAAGAAGACGTCTTGTGTATGGAATATATGCACAACGAAGAGTGAAGAAACATTGGTTGAAACTTCTAAAACAAAGAAAGCTTTAATGAAAGAAAAGTATCTAAATATGGATGATTTTATCATACTTCCTACAAAATAGTTGTTGCAAAGCTGATAAGATTTATTAACTTTTTTTAAAAACACGTTTTGCTTCTTTCTCTACGCAACGACAGCTACGTTTTTGGTTATTGAACTCCTGGGCCAGCGAGTCCGTTCATGAACACGCTCACATAAATGCTCGCAAAATTTGTGGTAAATATGCAGACTAATATGAATGAGCAATGCTTATGCACAAATATTTTTTTCCATGACTAAGCCATAAAGCGTCTCTTCAGCGCGTCGTCAGAACAGCCCTTTCCTGTGTAGGTCGTCCTCGCGTGCATGCCAGCATCGATGAAGCAGGTGCCGTAAGTTTAGCTGGTCCAAACCGTATGAAAGGAGTGAACCAAGAGGAACATCCGGTGTCACAAACGTGCACATGTCCGCCCCCCCCCCCCACCACCAAAAAAAAAAAAAGCGCCAATGTAGACCTCCACGAGCAACGTTACTATTCCGTTAACGTTGACGACAGCCCACTGACGCGCGGCGGGCAATTTCAGAGGGCAAAGACCAACAATTTTGATTTCGACGATCTCAACAAGAGGGGCTGTTACGATTAAAAAAAAGCCGATTACTGAAAATTGCTTAGATTTCAGTGATGCTTTTCTTGTAGCTAGTGTGGATTATTGAATCTGATATTGTGTATAATGTCGCGTTGAGAAAAAATAGTTTGACCATGTGCCACAGGGTCAGAAGCCATCACATGTAACAAGCAACTGTAAGCAACTCTAACATTGCTAAGGTCTGGTACATTTGTGCAAATAGTACATGTTAAATGAGCATATTGATAATCGAAGTTGGGGTCAGAAGTTTAACGTGAAGACAAATTCGAAATATAAAAATCTTATTGTGAGTGCTTGTGGCAAAGATATCGAATAAAATTTATGACTGTGTAGCAACGACAAAGGTAACGTCCGTGAGTTTTTTTTTCTGTAACGGTAACGTGCTACCCTTTTTTTTTGTAGGTTACGTAGGGCGGTAACGCGTTCTTTTTTTTTTGTTGGCGTAACGAGTAACGTAATTATTTACTTTTTTTTTGGTAACGGATACAGCACTGTTTCTGGGTATGCGTGATAGACGCTACCATGTGTGCAGTCGTATTAATAAACTTCGCCTTGATTCTTTCTTTCTCTATTCTTCTCCCACTCTTTCTTCTTTCCTCGATTAGGGTAGCAAACTGGGGGCAACCTTGTTACCGTGCGGCCGTTCCTTTGCCTTTTTCTCTCCCTCTATTGTTGATGCGGTGGCCCATGACAATGGATAAATGCGGTCGAACCCTTCTTTATGGGTGGGCTTTTTTTTCTTCTCTTTAGCAGCTCATCCTCCTTTTTTTGTGTGTTTTTTTCTTAACATTCCGCCACCTTGCAGATTTCCGCACAACCAATTTGCTCATTTTTCAGTGTCACTTCGTGCTGTCGATTAATTTGCCTTCACTTTGTCAAATGCTAATCTCCTGCTTAGCTTAATCGGTGGAGTGACCACCCCGAAAAATAGAGTGTTTCTTGGTTCGATACTCAAAGCAATATGAATTTCGAAACAATCAATCAAATTGGTGGCTTTCCCTTTTATTTTGCTACTCCCACTGGTTCTATAACACCAGTATGCATTGACGCTCATTTTACTGGAAGAAAACTATGCACCGCGAAAGTTCGGCGGTGTGTCGGATTCGCCGTTTCGCGACATTCATCGTCTTGTCTGGCCTGCCACATGTACGATTGTCGTTTGGGCGCACGAATATAATTGGGCTCTGTAGGCGTGTCAGGATATACGCATCTGAGAAAGATGTCATTTTTGCTTGGACCATCTTGAGCAAACATCGCACGAGATAAGAGTCGAGCCAGTCAAGAAGGCGTATGAGAAAGATTCAGAAATCATATACGTTCACGGCACGTGCAGAACCGTAGCCAGAAATGTTTTCAAAAGTAGGGCGGTGTCAACTCTCGTTGCTGACGTGTACCCGTACATACACACATCCAAAACGTAAGAATATCGAAGTGGGGGAGGGGCTTAAGCACCCGAATTTCGTTACGCCACTAACCTCACATTGTACGAGAAAGACGACGGGTGTATGTTTTTGCAAAACAGGGTGTTTGAAACGCTTCCGGGGGATCAGTTTCTGTCTTTAATTGCCGGCCATGTGTTTTTTCAAATGTCATTGAAAGTGGTGGTGAGTGGTGTGAAAGAAAGGCTGTCGCTACTGAAAATTTAATACGAAGAAGCATGCAGCTTTTATTGGGTTGTATGGCAGGCATATACAGGCTATGTCGGCATTCGGCAGTTACAAGACTGGTCCGAATAAAACGCGATATGAGCGAGGTGCTGCTACACGGTCATATGGGATGTTAATGGGGTCCGATCAGGATCAAGTCGGTCGCGCTCTTCTCTATTTGGATTAGTGATCACGATTTCACTGAAATGTCCACCAATTTGGATCCAAATCAGGCTGGGCCATGTGGCAGCAAGTGACTTATTGACCTAGATCAAAAGTTCAATGATGATCCGTCCTAATTGTGATCAAAAGTGCTTGTGTGACAGCGGAATAAGTAATACCTCTCGACTTGCGTTTTATTTTAACATAGGGGCACGCTTGGTGGATTTAGAAAAAAGTATGCTTTGTGACGGTTGAATAAAAAACAATCAAACAAATAGAGAGTGCAGGTAGCGCATTTCACTAGAAGTAACGAGCGATAGACTGTCGCAAAAAGGTCTCACGCAAGCACACGACAGTACATTTTGGTGGTAAATAAACAGGTGGCTTGTCAATTATAAATGACGTGCAATTTTACTGCATTCACAAGGATGGGGCGGGAGACTTATCTCGGTCTGATTCAAGTAACTTTCCGACAAGAGCTCCAACAGCTCCAGATGCGGCACCGTTTACGAGGACCTTCACTACGGGAACTACTACGGTCGCAACGACAGGATGGATCTGCTCGCTGGTTTCATCGAATTTGCCTTTGATTCGCTTCAGAGCCTCGATGAGTTCGGCACGGTGGTCCACGATGGAACGAGAAAGTTCCTCGGTGAGCAGCTTCTTCGCATCATCCTTCGTCATTGCTGGCCCACTCAGCGTGGCCGCTTGAATTTCTGTAACGCAAAGTCAGAAATAAAAAAAAAACAATCCCAAGTACACTAAAATTCTATAAATGCGTGAGTGACGGTGAGGGAAGTGGTTCACACAAACATTTATCTCTAGTGTAAACACACGTCTCGAGTTGAAGCTGCTCACCGACCTACTTTTCGCACTTCATTGGTTGAATTGCGAATAAAATGAAATGCACGGTTTTTGAAAATGGTTGCTTACTACTCGAACAGCCCTCGAGTCATATTAGTATTCTGGCTGGTTCGCAAATTCTGTATTTGAGCACCTTAAAATAAAAGACAAGCACTAACATTCTGATGCACAATAAATGATGAAAAGGTAATGTATTCAACGTCTTTAACTGCCATCCTGTATCAGCTCATTTTATGCTAGCATAAACGTTTACCATGAAACTTTATATTAAACAGTCAGACGAAGTCACCTATATTTAACTTCGACTGTGTTTCAAGAAATACTTATAATATTCAAGAAGATTTAAAATAAAGGACATCAGTGTGAAAAATGCCGAACACATATAACTAGAAGTACTGTATTTGTGAAAGCAGGCCGTTAGGGAAATCACGATGACCTGACGGTTAAATAAAGACAGATATTGAACTTGAAACCTGCTTCAGATGTAATACATCCCCGTAGGTGAATGGCAGCAGAATAGTGACATGTAATAAAAAACGTAAGGCCATAAACATTTCTTGTACTTACGGCACAAATGTCCCAGGATGAGGAGAGTCAAAAGTGCGTAGGCATTCATGGCGAATGATCTGCGAAGAAAAATAACATGTTACGCCGTGCCGCAAATTAAGCGAAACAAAAATGAAACATAGCAAACATGCAAAGGGGTTGTTTCGAAATCTGCATTTATATGCAATTAGTGTTGTGATTTATCGTGATATCATGCTGTCGAGATTCGGAGATATATTCTCTTTCTATGTACGCGGAAATTAGAATTCCCTTTCGTTGAAGTTGTTCGCATGCACTCAAAAAACTTTCAAGCAATGTAGGATTTGCGTAAAACGCGGAAAATGTACAATTTTTATAAAGAACTTCAATACCTCAATGATAAATGCGCCCCACCGACACAATACCCCACCACGTGTGTTTAACCACTGCAGATTGTTTGGGGGCGCACAAAGAAGTTTATTAGGCTTAATCTTTATAATTGATTTTTATGTGACATAGCAATAACACCTTATTGAAAATAGGAAATATTTACCTCACATGTGTGAGGCTACCTGGCTCCGAAGTTGATGAGCTCGATTTTTCTGTCCGTTTTCTGCACCTCAAAGGCCGCTTTGTGGACGGTTCGATTGAAGTGCTAATTTTTTATAGCTTTGAGCAAGTGGAAGGTTTCCGAACCTTCGTGCCGTGCAGCGGGTGATAACATGAAACAATAGCCAGTGAATATAGGTCCTGATAATGGAGGAAGGTTCGGAATATCAAACTCTCATTTCCCTGCTAAGAGATATGGGTGCTGTTGTAGATGTTTGGCTAGTTTCGGATAATACTTGAGAACGCGCATGTTACAATAATTTGAGATTCATAAAGTGGATCTGAACTTTATCATTTATATTATATTCATGGTTATTTAGCAATATCGGTCGGGATATTGCATGTCTGATTATTTTTTTTCAATACGAATCATGGTTCACTGGTTATGACGTCTTTATTCTGAATACAAGTAATGTACCTAAATATTTGTGACTGTAGCCGCATAACCACTTAACACTTGGGTGCTTATTAGTGCAAGTATTGTTACGTTACCAGTGCATTGCTGCGTGCCATTGTAGCATTACGTTTTTAACTACTTAGTGCATTATGTCTAGCCTATGTTACGTAATGTACAAAGGCCACAATATAACTTGCTCTTTTATGTAACACTTTTTACAGTTATGCGATGTTTATTGCTGTTATTCCTATTTAAGTAAGATAACTTTTTGCCCTTTTTATTCACAAGTGGTCGATTAACGCTTGGTTTTGAGATGTCTTTCTTTATCTATCTTGTTTACGTCCTCCCCCCCCCCCCCCCAATCCGATGGGTTGGGTAGCAAACTGGACGTAGTCTTGGTGAAATGAAGTGCAATAAGCGTGATAAAAAACGTAGGGACAGACTGGACGAAGACAGGATTCACGAAAATAGCGTGTTTGTCGATTAATTTTAGCTGTTGAGTGTGGAGTAATGTGCAAGGTTCACCAATATGGGCGGCGAAAGTTCATCGTGGTGCCCTCTTTATGTATGGAGCCGATTTTTTAAGCCTCCCCATTCCTTCCCCGTTCTTATGCGTACTCTTATGGTTGAATGTTGAAGTGAGCCATTCGTTGTGAGAATCAACAACGATCGTTTATCATGTACTGGAAAACGTGCCTTCAACCGATTGGAGACAATGTTCAAAAGTATCTAATTGCTTCCGTGCATAGTTGAACATATTTACGTTGTGCAGAACATTTAGGCGATGTCTAAGCCTCCTCCGTATTTGAGTGACAATTTCTGAATCATAATTAAAACTATTTTCAAGAATAGGAAAATTTATTATGTTTCATCTCCATTTGAGCTTCTTTTCTGATTAGTATTCGCTTGTTTGCTTGGCAGCATGTGACAACACTGGTCAGTGCACGAGAAAATGCCGGGGCGGTGAAGCGACGGTTGCCATGTTAATAATCACTGACGGTTACTGGCGCTCGAGTCACGCGGGGTTGTGGAACTTGCGCTAGTTGTGGAATGAGATGCGAAAGGGGAGGGCGTACTCGATTCCCACGAAGGAATGTTTATATCCACCTTTTTGGTAGTGAAAACCTAGTTTGGCAAGCTCTGACCAGAGTAAAAAGCATCTAAATTGGCCAGTGGCGATCTACCTCTCTATCTTCGATGCATAAAACCGTACAGAAAACTTATATCTAAGATTCAGTCCGTCAGAAATATTTATTTACAATTTATAACGCAGGCAGCATGCATACCTTATTATTATGCTATATGTAACATGCGTGTATGACATAGATATGAAAACATAAAAGTAATTAGATTGGGGCTAACTTAGTACCAATCAATATATAGCTTAACTAGCCTTTTCCACCTGCTTTGTTGAACTGCGACCGCAGTCATCGCAACTAAAGCCGACGTAAAAAAACCTCAGCCTCCTCACGATCAACCTGTTGAAACAAAGCGCATACTGTGCTCAGAAAAAAAAAGTAATGCCTAGTAAACCGCCTCTGGTATTGACAAAAAAAAATCACCAAATTACTTATTTTTTAGAATGCCCCATTCGTTCCAATCGACTGCAAATGTGACATACAATGAACTGACTGTTATACGTATTTTACAAAAGAGACATACTTATCGACAACAGATTTCAGAGCCATCCTACTGATATCGCAAAATTTTTACACGTGAAGGCTCAATTATTGCCCGAGTAAAGACACACACCTACACCAGCACTGATATCTCTTGTTATACCGTGAACTTCCCCCATTATGAGGACATCATTGTGGGTGTCTATTGTTTGTCGTTATTTCCCGCTGCAGTGCAAGAAGGTTTAGGAACCTCCCACTAGTTCGCAACTATAAGTATTGTGGGCGTTTTTCGAACTTCGCAGAGCTGCCATTGAGTTATCCGGAAGAAAGATAAAAATAAAGTCCGTCATTTTCATCGCCAGCTACCGCGACACAGTTGAGGTAAATATTTCTTGGATATATCTCTAAGAGCTCTAAACTATGTTCAAAAGACTAGGTGTACCATAATAATTTGAGTGTGCAGTAAAAATGCTCAGCTGTTTCACACATGATAGTGAACTTGTCGACGTCATTCTATTGCCAAACAAACTTATTGAACAGTAGCGCCAGATCTCACCAGCATCTTTTCTGGACCCGAATGATGTTTGCATTATTATGATCATGAAGATATTGGGCAATGAAAAGCTGCAGCGTTGTTAACATAAGGACCACAAAATATTTTAGCTACGAAGATCAAACAGTTTATATATAAGAGAAATATTAGTGCTGTAGACATATAAACACAGATTTTCTTTAAACTTGAATAGAGCAGTAAACTTACGACAATGGGCTCCTGATAAGTCTTTAACAGCATGTTCTCTGAATAAGTAGACAAAAAATGCGGATACAAAATTTATGCACGTGAGCTACATCAAACTTCTTCATTTCGTGGTATAACTATCATTTAAAGCGCACGAAAAACAGACATAAAGAGAGGAAAGCGCTTGTCCTCTCTTTATGTCTGTTTTTCGTGCGCTTTAAATGATAGTTATACCATGCATATCCAACTAGCCCAACTTTCGATTCTGTTCTTCATTTCGCTTGATTTCCTATGCGGCATAACTTGATGTCCTTTATCCAAAGAAAATTCGCTATGAAGGCTTACTACACCTTGGCTTTCTTAATCATAGGCCACTTGTGTCGTAAGTACCAACCTTGTTCAATACCTTTTATATGATGGCTCAAACACCCCGCCACACTAGGTTCTTGGTGATACATGCCATAATTACAGATTAACTACCTAGTGGGGATGTTCAGGTATTCCCAATAAGCTGCGAACAAATGTAAGACGTCTCAAAAAGTCCTGTATACTGTTTTCCATAAGAGTGAAAACTTGAGTGGCTTGATAGGCGTTTATATTTGGTTGAATCAGCCCACATGAGACGAGTATGAAGAAAAACGAAATCGCAAAACAGGTTCTGACACACAACCAAGCTTTATTAGGAAACAACAAGTAGATGTATACAGTCGTCCATATATGTACTTGTTATTTCCTAATAAACTTATTTGTGAGTCGAGTCAGTCCCTCTTTTGTGCTACTATTTTTCTTCATATTCGCGCCGTGTGTACGGTTACTCAGTAACACTTGCTGCTGCGCTTCATAGTTACCTTTCAATGAAGCGTTATATATGATAGATATCAATATGCGCATGTGGTCACCCACGAGGATGATTAAGAAAAATAGTTCAGTGATGACAGGTGCACGCTTGGTGGCAGTACACATAAATTCTACCCCCCCCCCCTCCCCAAATAAGAAAAAAATAACGGAGAAAGATTTTATCAGACGTCTTTGCGAAATGAAAAGAAGTAAAGTTGAGTCGCATTCATAGAAATGCGAGAATCATGAAATTGTTTCAAAGCAGTTGTGACCTGAAGTCAAGCTGAAAGAGACATAATAAAATGCTTGTTCGTCTTGTGTGTTTTGCTATATTGTGTTCAAATATTTACAGCACGCGAATGCCAGAGACAGAGGTTTATAACTGTTCGATAAAAATCGGTTATCTCTCTTAAATATAAAAACGGTTATTGCACTACTGAGGTCTAGGGTTGACAAAAAACAACTCTAGTATTTTTGAAACAATATAGCGTGATATTAAGAAACCACTGTACATCATCTTCGCAAAAAGGCCATCGGTGTACTTTCGGGCCGGGATGATTCATTTTCGTCTAACAGAAATGACCAGTTGAATATCTTTTCTTTTGTAATGGACAGTCCTTTCCATAAGCTTGTCAACGAAGGCGCGAACTGATATTCTTCCGCGTTGTTTTGGCTTTTGGTGAACACTGACTGTAAATAACGATTCAGCCTATTTGAAATTTCACGCCCTTATTGTAGAATTCCCAGTCCAGCTACATTGCCTAATTTTGCCACGTTTATCTTTGAAGAAACTAAAAAAAAAGTGCCACAGGAAATCTCACAGAGGGCGTGCGAGCGTTTATTTAAAACTAGCGAACTGTGCAAGGTGTGGTCAAAAGGAAATATGGTGGGCACCTAGGTTGTCCTGACACGACGCAGCTTCTACTCTATCACTTGTTTCTTTCCCAACATTTACTTATACTATACAATACTAAGCTATGCTATACCGTAGTATACTACGCCATAATGTATTTACTTTAGTCTGTGTCCTCCTATCTCTCTCTTCCTATGCCCGCATGCAGACTTCGACCATGACTGCTCTGCTGTAAAACTCCTATAGGCACAGACAGCGCATCTTCTGTCTTCATCTCACCCTTCGTAGATTTTCTAGGGCTGCTGCTGTCTTTTTACCTTTTTTATGAACCGAAGCCAACTCACCCAGCTGCGTGGGTTTATAGCCTGTGTGTGCCTCAAAAAATGGAAGCATGCCACCATCCTCCACACCGGTACACTAAAGTTAACAAAGCAGTGCATGGGCGTCGGAACACTGCTTAAGGCGTTATTTTTCAGCTTCCCTGTACCGAGAGCTTCGGCGGTGACTGAGTACTAGTGTCGGTTCAAGATGGTGATTATTTTCTATCTACGACATACGGCGCACCTTCGACCTTAGCAGTCGTTCT